TATAATTCACTAACTCCATTTTGTCGTTTCCATCGCGAATGGCCTCGAAGAAGTGAAATGCATATAAAGAAGTGTTTTTTTCTTTTTGTATTTTATTATTACGATACGTTAATTCGAAAATATTCCGTAAATGATGTACTTTTTGTTTTCGTGCTCATTTCATTGGTTTACTACATTCAAATCATCATTATCAGTAAACTGTAACAAATTAGCATGTGACTATAAACTGTATTATGTACTCAGACGTGTTGGCACAATGCTAATATCTTTTTAATTCGCTATCATTCACTCTTTCTAAGATAAACAACCATAGATATTAGTCAATAACGTCGTCTTGCACAATTGGATTAATGTCATTAGTGACGAGAAATGACGAGATACAAATTGTTAACATTAGCACTAGAATTATCGAAATGAAGCATTATATAAAAATTGTATCAGAGATATTGAAGAGCAAAGGGTAAGCAAAAGAATTTTTGTAATATGATAAAACGTTCGTTCATATATTTTACAAAAAATTGCTCAAATACGCGTCTATGAAATATTGACATTGATACAGATTGATCATTTTGATCATTGTGATCAAATAATAGTGCAAAAAATATATAAACAGAATATAACAAATAGATATAAAATATGATGAAATGGATATGAGAATATAAAATGTAAAATGAATTAAAATAAATGTAAAATAAATGAATATAAATCGAAAATAAATATTCGTAAAAATGTAAAATTGCAGTCCAACTATAATTTTATTTTTGGGTACTATTTATGAATTTTAATTTAGTTTATCCAATGCTGAGTAGATAAATACTTATAAATAAATGTCGAACAAAAGTGATTTTTTACAAATGAATTTTTTATTAATTTGTAAACTGTAACAGTGGTAGCCCTCGATTTTCCCAAACAAAACTATAACACAAAATAGATGTTAATTATTCATGTTACAGAATAAAAACTATATTTGTTCTAACATCAACTGCGACAAATATAGACAAAGATTTTTACTTCATTGTTACAAGTAACATCATTAAATAACGACAATACAATTTTGAAAATACAATTAAACAAAGAAAAAGCTTTCTCAATTATCGGAGGCAGAAATCTTAAAAAGTCGTCCCGCAATGAAATTGTTAACCAGTTCCGATAAGAATAATGGATATTCGTACTACTTACCCTGACATACGCCTCTGCGATGTTCTTCGTTTCGCATGGGTCGTTCACTATGTCGAATAAACATTCCGTAACGTTACAAGATGTGAGCAGCCGTCTATCAGAGTACGTGAGGTTTGTATCACATTGGACCGTTCCATCTCTTCGTAATTGTAACATTGTACTCGGTTGTGTCACTGGCCCACCAAGATGATAAGTAATGCTTTGAGAGACAGCACTTTTCAACACGACTTCCGTGTATGGTGGTGTCTCTAATGTCCTTCCGGAATCACCATAGTATCCATCGTAATAACCATTTTCGATGGAACCTTAAATCATTTTTTTTTTTTTTTTTTTTTTTTTTT